CCTCAGGCCCGGCCCAGCGCCCCTCAGGCCCGGCCCCAGCACCTCTCAGGGTGGCATCTTCCAGCCATCATTGTGCTGATCCTGCCGGGCAGTGGGAGAAGGACGAGGTGACCTCCTGAAGTCTGGGAGCACATGGAGGGTGTGGGTCTACCCCAAAGCCCTAAAGGACACGGCACCACTGTTGCTTGTGATCTTGTGATCTGGGCTAGGGGCTCTCTGGACTCTCTGCTTGCTGAAATTTCCCAAATTTCTCCTTCCTGAGCTTCTACCTCTGTGACTCTTCCCTGTTCTGTCGCTGCTGGGTGCTTGCCCTGAGGCTTCTCACTCACCCTTTCTGCAAGCAGCAGCCTGGGAAATGCTTGGAGACGGCTCAGGCCTAGGAAGAACAAGAAACCGGTGGCTGGTATTTATTCCTGCAGGAGCCTTGTACACCTCTGTACATAAACACACCTACACCAAAGAGGTGCTTAGCTCCCAACAACAGGGACTATCCCTGCAAAGAAAAAGATGTGAAACTCTGAATATTAGTTGCCTCCTTGTGCACAGGAACAGAAGTTTAGCTGATGGAAGTACTGGGTATGCACATCATCGCTTCGGCTCAGGGCAAGGCAGCTCCCTCCAAGGAACTCCCCATCCCGCTGGGATGGCGGCAACCTGTTCCTCACGGGAGCTGCGGGGCCCAGCCAGCCCCACACTGCAGTGGGCACGTACAGGCGGGATGCCACAACCCTCGGGCAGAGTTACTTACAGCCTATAAGCAACGTGTCCTGGACATGCCTCTTGCCAGGCTTCACAGGCCCCCAGATTTCACGTTTCCTTGTTATTTTTTTTTGCAACTATTTTCTAATAGTCTGAGGCTGCATTCCTGAAATCACACCATCACCACCCAAGCCCAGTAGATCCAGACATCATACCAGCCAGACTGACCTGTAGGACTGGGGTGCGGATGCCTGACATCTTTCTTCACCTTAATTCCTGCAGATTTGCAGCGCTATGGCATTTTCAAGGTGAACAAGGATCTAGAGTTCACCATTTTGCTTTCATAAAGATTAACCTCCACCTTCACGGAGCCTGGGTGTTTCCAAAGACAAAATGCAAATGGACAAAAAGCACCTGCCTTCCTCTCCTTCCAAGAATTCAGCACTTGAAAAGGGCGAGGGAAAGCCCTCCTGTCCTCCCTCTTGCAGTCTCAGCTCTTGTGTACGCTCGACAGAGGCCATATCTGCCACAGCTGGGCAGTGAGGAGCTGACCCCAGCACTCCCATGACTGCACAAGGCTACACGTGTCCCTAAAAGCAGCTCACGGGAGCCTGTAGCCAGAGGATGAAACATCCCCGGACCCACTAAGGAATGTGGGCTGACCCCAGCTCAACCCCAGCACCCGGTGTGGTTGCAAGACACCGTGGTTGGCTCTGATGTGAGGTGGATTCAACTCCGCTTACCCAGAGCCATCGCCCACAACCTGCACGTCCTTGAAAAGGAACCAGGGCTGTTCAGATAAACTTAGTGCAGCAAAGATGAGAGATTCAGAGACATGGAGTTTAAGGGACTTGCACTTTACTCAGCAACTCGATGACACCTTCCTTGGTGAGGAACAAAACCTCGCCAGCATTCTGATTCCAAACCTCAAAGACTGGGGGGTCCTCACTAACCCTCTTCCCGGCTATGACCACGTAGGGATAACCCAGCTTGTTGGCGTCCTTTAGCCTTTTGCCAATGGTCAGCTGTGTCCTGTCATCCAGTACTGAGTCGCCGGCAAGGTGTGGCAGCGCTTCAGTGAGGTCGTTGTACACCCGCTCCAGCAGTGTGGCTCCCTCCTCCTCCTCCTCCTCCTTGCTGCCTCTCTTGGGGGGAATGAAGCAGAGCTGGTAGGGTGCGATGAGGCTCGGCCAACGGATGCTGTCCTCTGTAGAGAGCACCTCGATGGAAGCTGCCAGGATGCGAGTGATGCCCAGGCCATAGCAACCCATTTCTGCCAGCTGGGGTTTGTTCTCGGGGGAGTAGAAGACAGCATTGGAGACGGAGGAGTACTTGGTGCCCAGATAAAATGTGTGTCCTACTTCGATCCCTTTGGTCTGGGTGAGTTTTTCTCCACATGTGGGGCAAGACGTTTGCTCCCCGTTTAACGTTTCCATGTTGGCTGCAAAATGTCTGGCTGGGCACAGCACCAGTCTGTCCTCACCGATGTCTGCCGGGAGCTGGAACTCGTGGGACACGGTGCCGCCGATGCTGCCTGTGGCCGCCTGCACTTTGACATAGGGAAGGCCCAGGCGGTCAAAGAGGCTGCAGTAAGCGTCACACACCAGGTTGTAGGTGTGCTGAGCTGCCTCTTTGGAGGTGTCGAAGGTGTACATGTCCTTCATGTAAAACTCCCGGCTGCGCAGCAAGCCGAAGCGGGGCTTGGGTTCGTCCCGAAACTTCCTGGTCACCTGGTAGAGGCGCAGTGGGAGCTGCTTGTAGGACAGGTTGCTCTGAGCAGCCACCAGCTCCGTCACCGCCTCCTCGTGCGTGGGGCCCAGGCAGTAGTCCTTGCCGTGCCGGTCGGCCAGCCGGAAGAGCTCCGGCCCCATCCCGTCCCAGCGGCCGCTGGCACGCCACAGCTCCGCCGAGCTCAGGCAGGGCATGTTCAGCTTCTGCCCCGCCACCGCCTGCATCTCCTCGTCCACCACCCTGACGAGCTTCTCCATGGCGCGCACGGTGGGCGGCAGGTAGTGGTAGCAGCCGGGGCTGGCGGGGTGGATGAGCCCCGCTTGCAGCATCAGCTTCTGGCTGCGGCAGGTGGGCTCCCCGGCCCTGCCGTC